ACGGTGGAAGAACTTAAATTATTAGCTAAAAAATAAGTAGTCAAGGAGAGAGAGCAACATAATTAATTTAAATTTGGGTTTTCATGATAACCTGGAAAATCAATGCTATCAGACACAATTTTATACACATCTGTGTAATTTTATCTCAGAAAGGTAATCTATAGGAAGGGCCCAAATCATCTACTGCACTATAGGACAGGCTGGATCGATGGGCCGAGGCCAATTGTATGAGATTCAACAAGGCCAAGTGCTGGGTCCTGCACTTCGGCCACAACAACCCCATGCAACACTACAGGCTTGGGGAAGAGTGGCTGGAAAGCTGCCTGGCGGAAAAGGACCTGGGGGTGCTAGTTGACAGCCGGCTGAACATGAGCCAGCAGTGTGCCCAGGCAGCCAATGGCATCCTGGCCTGTATCAGAAATAGTGTGGCCAGCAGGAGTAGGGAAGTGATCGTGCCCCTGTACTCGGCACTGGTGAGGCCGCACCTCGAATACTGTGTTCAGTTTTGGGCTCCTCACTACAAGAAGGACATTGAGGTGTTAGAGCGTGTCCAGAGAAGGGCAACGAGGCTGGTGAGGGGTCTGGAGAACAAGTCTTATGAGGGGTGGCTGAGGGAACTGGGACTGTTTAGCCTGGAGAAAAGGAGGCTGAGGGGAGACCTCATCGCTCTCTACAACTCCCTGAAAGGAGGTTGTAGCGAGGTGGGTGTTGGTCTCTTCTCCCAAGTAACTAGCAATAGGACGAGAGGAAATGGCCTCAAGTTGCGCCAGGGGAGGTTTAGATTGGACGTAAGGAAAAATTTCTTTACTGAAAGAGTGGTGAAACACTGGAACAGGCTGCCCAGGGAAGTGGTGGAGTCCCCATCCCTGGAGGTATTTAAAAGACGTGTAGATGTGGCACTTAGGGACATGGTTTAGTGGGCATGGTGGTATTGGGTTGACGGTTGGACTCTCTGATCTTAGAGGTCTTTTCCAACCTTAATGATTCCATATACCGGATAGAACTGGCAACTCTGTAATGGTAATACGTGCATATCAGGCAGACAGCGGATCAAAGGGCATATGATGTCACTATATACCTATATTTTGGGACTCCTGTTTTTGTTTTTTATGTCATTAGCAGTGCTTTTGGCATAGAAGTACTCTCTGCTCACACAAAAAACAACTCTCCATATTTTAACTAAGAGGTTTTCACAAGATACTGTTATCTGAGGTGATAAGAATCTTTTACGATGCAACCTTGTTATAACTTGGCTATGTGGGAAACTGTACCTTTAAGAAGCTGTACTTTGTGGTATAAAGTCTTATTTTAAGCTGCTTTTATCAACTTTATTTTGACTCGTCACAAACAAGACAGATAAATTTGAGGCATATATAACGGCAAACGTGTCACTGCTAAAGGCTTCCTTTAATAACCATAGTATAGATCTGGGCACTGCCTTCCTCTTCACTAGAGCTCTGTGTGCACTCGTTTTCTCAATATATTCTCTAAAGCAGATTCTGGATACTGCTAAAGTATCACCAGAAGTTGTCTGCTCAGGAAATAATGAACTCTATTTGCACAGCCAAAACAAAAAGTTTATTAGAAGGCAATGAAATACATACAACCAATTGCAAGCATCAGCCCTGCCTATACATCCATATGTCATCCAGAACACACCAGAAGCAACTGAGATTGGTAGCTACATGTGGTGCAAAACTCCACAAAAGTATTTCATATTACATTTGCTTATGAAAAATCAAGCTGCTAAGAACTGAGAAAAAAATTCTTCCGAGAACTGATCTGTAAATAAACCGTAGATCAGCCAGTAAGCAGAAAGGTATGCATAAACTTGAGGGATTCATTGTCTCCAAGTCTGTCTGCAAAGACACTCCCCCTTCTCTGTTCTCAGCACAAGAGGTATTAAGTGACCCCTGATCCCACTCTTCTCTTTAGATTTTGAGGGAGCCAAATCGTTTACACTCACCTGTTCAGGCAGCTGCCCTCCCTGAAGGATCTCCCTCCTTCCCCAACAGTGCGGGGTACAGCTGGAGAACCTGGGTGTTGTAGGTAGGAAGGGCTAGGACACACTCGTATGTCTCTGCAAAATGCCCTAAGGGACAGGAACCCAGTCAAATAAATAAACCGAGCAAAGTGCAGTCTACTGCACAATAAGGGGCAGTAACCCTCGCTGCACTTGGGAGGAGGAGGAAATTGTCACTGTTAAAGCATAAGTGAACTGTGGAATAACCGACAGAGAGCAGGAAATTGAGTTAAACCTGTTCAAAGTCTGTCCCCAGCAACTTTTCTCTCCCTTCAGTGAAGATTTTATTCTCTTTCACTGTTGATGAATGCTACTACTGAATAGTAGCCTCTCTTCTCCTATTTCCCTAGAGAAGCAAACTTCTCAAGGAATTTTAGCAGTGTTTGGTTTTACTCTTTTTGAATAGCAAAATTTTCAAAATCAGAATATAAAACTATTGTATTTAATCTGTGTGTTGAGAATTAATTAACTGCTGCTAAACACTTTTATAACTGGAATACTGTGTTGTTGCAGCACCAGATAAGGAAGTTATGCAAAGTGGAACTGCTGACAATTATCACTGGTTTAATTCTCACAATTTTAATTTATGTTGGTGGAGATCCATAAGGCCCCAATAGCCTCAAAAGGATTTCACACAAGCTTGTACTTCATGATCAAACCACAAATTCAACACCATCGTTAGCAATGGATTATATTTTTAGCACAGAGAGGGACCCAAAAAATCAATTTTTATCATCCAACAATAGACCATGAATAATCTGTAGTCTTGTAAGGCCTTCAGTGTGCAGGTAAACTGAAAACAAACCTCTACTGTATTTTCCTACTAGAGATGTCAAAGGGACTGAATGTGATGCTGTGCTTTAAAAAAGCACAAGTACAAATCGTTTTACTTTCTAGCACAGTAGCTTATCACTGTTAATGCAGAATCCAGTCCGAGGACAATCATGTAGACAATATATTCATAACTGGCAAAACCAAAGCGCAGGAAAGATGATAGAAAGTTTAGCAGAAACAGCCCTGTGGAACTACAGAAAGTAACAGCGGAAATTAAAACTAGTAGTAGGCAACTGAAAAGGCTGTCCTGGGTTTACACAACCTAGAGCTCGGTTTTGTACTTGCCCACAACAGCTGCAAAAACAGGTCACAGGCTGCGACGTACCACAAGTTTTTGGAGCGTGATGCTCTGCCACTGACTGGAGTTTAGAGGAAAACACTAACTTCGCTCAGTAAGATAGAGCATGCCTAAAGCACAAAACGTCAGAAAGCCAGGTGATGCTTTTTGCCCATTTATCTTTCTGCTCCTCCCTTACTGCAGCTATTTAAAGATTAAAAGAGTGCAAGTAGCCGCAATAAAAGCGCACGAAAAGTCCAAAGCCTCACCCCTGCAGAAAACGCCACACCTCGAAAGGCTTGCGGACAGCTCACTAGACAGGAATCTCCTCACACACCATGCCGGGACAGCTGCTGAAGAACACTGCGCACATACGGCCTTCTGCCTCTCCAGCAGCGGCGCCGCCCGAAGAGAAACCCCGTCTCCCAGAAGGACCACCAGCGGCGACGCGGGGAGGACCCGGAAGCCGCCTCCACCTGCGGGCCGTCCGCAGGAGCGAGGGGAAGGCCCAGGAGCCTGAAAGGATCCCCGCCACCTCTTCCCGCTCCTGACAGCGCCGGGCAGGAACCAGGGCAGCAGCTACTGTGGGCGTACTATTTCACTGTTGAGGCCCACCAACGGCCTTTTCGCCGCTGAGTCTCTTGGGAGTTGTAGTTCGAGCGCCGAAGAACCGCCTCGCAGCTGGGCGGGGAAGGCGGCGGCTTGGGACTACCACTCCCAGCATGCTCGGCGCTGGGGCGGTGCCCAGCCTGCGGCGCCGGGAGGCTGTGCGATGGCGGCAGGTTTGTAATAGAGGGGTGGCGGCCAGAGCGGAGTGTTGCTGCGGAAGCGGCCTGAGGAGCGGTTCCGGTGCTGCCGCCCCGGTACCTGTGAGGGGCTGTGGGTCGGAGCTGTCGTGGTGCGGGTGCCTGGGGCCCGGGGAGCGGCGGGACCCGGCGGCGCACTTAGGGCGTCCTCTGTGAGGGTGTCGCGGTGCCGCGGGCTGGGGCCGTGTCCGTGTCCGTAGGGGAAGGGAGGCGCTGGGCCTGGCCGCTCGGCTCGGCTGAGGAGCGTGGCTGTGCTCGTCTCCCCACCGGCCTGTGCGCGTCTCCCCACCGGCGACCTTTGGGGGAATCCCTTCGTCCCTCCTCGCCTCGCCGGGACGGGTCAGCTTCAGCCCTGCCAGCTCTTTTGGTTGGCACGCAGGTACTGCTTCACTTAGACTTTAGGGGAAGCTTTAAACTGGCAGGCTGCCACGAAACGGTCTCCAAAAGGTGACAGGAAAAATAGCGTGAGCCCTGTAGCCTTGAATTTGCCTATGCAGGAATCTGTACCTCGCTGGGAACTTCCAGTGGCGTCTCAAAACAGAAGGCAGTTGAAAAACATTTTCCTAAGGGAATTTTGCTGTTTCTCCTAGTCACGGTTTCAAACTTTGGTTGAAAGCGTAAGCCCTTTTACAGCGTGAAAATTAAGTGAGAGCTGGCATGAACTGATCCCTTGGGAACAAGGAAGCTTTAGGAAGTTGTTTCCTGATCAGCAGGACTGTTGAGCCTGGGCTGCTGTGGTTGTCTGTCCTTTGTCCCCTGGCCCCTTCTTTCCTCTGTATTCCCTGTGACACACCATATGCACAGGCAGAGAGTTAATTGCCCTGGGACTAGTTTGAGGTAGCAGGGCTGAGTGGTCAGGCGCTTGCTGCCACATTGTCATCAGCAGCAGTTCTGTCTCTTTTCCTTCCTAAGTGAGGAAATCACTTTGGGTCTCCTGTCTACCTGAATTCATTCATGATTTATGACACTTGTAGGTATTTGGTTATCGCTGAAACTTTTGCAGTCTTCAAACTTTTTTTTTTGGATGGATATAAAAAAAGAAGCTGGTTGGGAGGAAGAAGCTAACAGGCATCATGGTTGTAGAGTTTCCATGAGAAACTAAGGAAGACACGAAAATGTAAGTGCGGCATTGAAATATGTGCAGTAAAATGTTTGTATTTAGATGGATATATTTGAAACTTTGCGTTGATATGAAGGTCCTGTGAGGGAAGCCTCTCTTTCAACTCCTCAAATCACTTCTTTTGTTGCAGGCACTTTAAAAAAATTCTGAATCCCTTTCTGTACTGAAGAGAATATTATACACAGCTTTATAATATTAGCTGTACTCAAATAAAAGGATTATGTTGACCTCCTGCACAGAAAGTGTTTGTTACTAATTGTCCAAATTGTTTCTATTGCCTAGGGAAAAGTAGATTGTGACTTATTTTTATAAACACACTGGGTTGGTTATAAGAGAGTTAACTTTCTTTTACTGAAAGTCTGTTATTGTAGATGTCTTATTTTGTTTATCTGCTTAATTTCTAGGTGCTAAAAGTAGGTAACCGTCCATACCAAATACCTGGAACTTTGAAAGTTTTACTGTCCTAACGCTACATAATGTCATATTGTTATGCTAATGCTGTATCAGCAAATAAATGGGAATACAGTTTACAAGATGTCAACTGTTGAAGATCTGAGTAGCGAACAAAACTTCATTGCACATTGGATGTCTGATACTTCCCGTGCTGGAGTCTTATTAGATCCTAGTTTTACTGGTTTGAAAATCAACAAAGAAAATTTATTATCTGGACCTGAAAACATCACAGCTTTCCCTGCTGAAGTGTTGCATCTTTCAGACAGCTGTTCTGTAAGTGATGACTCCTTGTGTGAAGAAGAGCCTGGCAGCTCTTGTACACTTCAGCAATATACCACTGAAACATCTTTTCCAGCAGCAGCATATAACGTAGAAGCCTCTAAAACAGACTTTGTCCATGGTGAAGTGGATGGTCAGAATAAATATGATCACAGCGATCCACTCTTACAAAAGCTTGAACAGGTAAAAGTTCTAGAATTCCTTGACATACATCAATTAAGATTTATTTTGTTTCTGCATGTGATTTGTCATACCTGGAATTAAGCAAACTCTTTGCAACGTATAGAACACAGCAAGCTTAAAGAGCAAGTCTGAAGTCACAGTTACGCGTGCATAAAAATTGGTGTCCTCCTCATCATGTGCATTTATTGAGTCTAACTTCTGTTGTTTCCAGCTGGCACAGGTTCCAGTTTAAAATGAAATTGCATTCAGTGGCAGTGTACTTGTTCTCAAAATCTTTTTACCTGGAAAGGTCCACGCAGTTTTACAGTGTTCCGTTGTTTCTTCACTTGAAGCTGTGGAAATGGGCTGCTGGTCATTACAGTGGTAGTACTTCACCACAGATATTCACAACATGGTGAAGTTGTATGTTTTTGTATCTATAGCAACATCTTCTGTTAGTTCTCAAAGCAGCTACGTACATCCAATACCTGGTTCTGTTTAGATGAAGAATGATGTTAATGTTGAATGTGATGAAGTATCCATGACGTTGGGACGAAAAGGCCTGGAATTACAGTGCTGTGATGTTATTAATTGTTTTTTTTTTCCAATGCAAGTGTGTCAGTTAATCCACTGTAACTGGCTATATGTTTGCTTGTAGCTCTTCCTAATTACTAGATATAAATTGCATTAGCTGAAAGTGTTCATAGGCACTTCAATAGATCTTGCTGTTAAGGATTAAAAACTCACTCACCTCCTTGTCCACTCTGCTAGCAGCTACCTCAGCACAAATCCCTATGTCTGTTCACTCAAGTGGGGTGTGTGGGGATGTGTGTGTGTGAGTCTCTAGAGTAGAATTCCACAATTTATGTGGTGCTACAAAAATTTTCTCCTCTATTTTACATGATAGGAAAACATTTATTCACTTTTTCAGTATTGTCAGCAGTATCAAACAGTGGCTAAATAACAGATATTAGCTGGTTTAATGGTATCTTAAGAGGAATTGTTAAGTCTCCTGTCTTAGAAAGTTATTGACAATCTAATATATTATAAAAAAATAAATCTGATGCTTGCAGTGATGAATGTAGTTTTGGATGCATAAGACTTTTTTCAGTTTGGCTTTCTGAGGATGTTATCTGAACAGGTAGAAGTATGATTTCTTCAGTAAATTAAGTGAAGGGGTTGGAGATGAGACTTTAGGTGATCTTTGGATCTCTATCATTAGCTCACAGCTTCTACTTGCATAGTGCCTTACTTCTGTTTTCACTGGAATTTTAAGGGACTACAAGGAGAATTCAAGGGAAATTTTTCTTACCTGCTGGATGACAGGTGCGGTCCTATTGTTGATCTATGGAAGGATTTCATCAGGCCTCCTGTCTTTCCTTTGGAGGAGCTGAAACTAGCACATATGTATGTGTTGGAGATGCAGAGATGAGCATGGTATTGCTGTGGTTTGGTAGGGTACAGAATGCCCTGCCTTCATATGGCCCTCGAGGCTGGTCTTGAGGCAGGGCCAGGGACTCCTGCTACAGAAGAAAATGAAGACTGGATTACTGAATTTAATCAGTATTTTAATTCTTTTTTTCAGGCAGCTTCACGAGTCTTAATGTTCTCCAATGCTCTTCTTCCCCTCTCTTGGTCCTTTGTATCAGTACTGTTCACTGTAACTGAGATCTTGGAAAGCACAAAAAAAAAAAAAAAAAAAACTTTTTTTTTAACTGAGATCGGAAAGCAAAAAAAAAAAAAAAAAACCACGCTTTTTCTAAAGCATTGATTATTATGAAGTATTTCACGTTTTAATAAAAACACGGCGTAGTAGAAGTTAATGTTAAGAGAGCGGAATTTGAATGTTTTTCCTGTGCAGTAGATATGAGTGTTCTGATTCCTATTGTTTGCAGATTGGTCAATTAAAGACTAGTGGAACTGTTAATTGGGCAAACTGGAAATAGCATGTGCATTCATAGATAGAAAAAAACAAAAATTTCGTTTAGCATAGCATTTCATATTCATAATTTCCTTCATGTTACATTTACCTAATGGAACATCTTTAAAACAAGAAATACCCGTTGTCTTGATGACACTAATCCTGTGGTACATTCTAAGTAAACCTAGCCTCTAATACATTTTTTTTTTTGTTGTTGTTTGAAAAGCTGAAGGAATTGCAACAACAGAAACAGGAACAGCTAAAGAAACAACAGATGGAGCAACTTCAAAGGCTAATGGAAGAGCAGCAGAAACTACTTAGCATGGTATCTGGCCAGACAGCAGTTCTTGGTACGTTGAGAAAGCAAGCGTATGACATACTTTGAGTAAACTGAAGAATTTAATCTCATTTTCCAGTTAAAATCTGAAAGTGTATTCAGTGTTCTTCATCTTAAGACTACTCAATTAGTCAAAGATAAATGCTGCATCGCTTCAGTGCTTGAAAGTTGAGTGCTACTGTAGAAGGAACACTATCCTGTTTTTATAAAACGCCAACTGTCATTGTAACTTGATCAATATGTGCTATGATGGGAGCCCTTGTTTCGTAGAACGTTTTAAATACAAAAGACTGTAAAAAACCAGTTGCTTTCCTTTCTGATTAGCTGTTTCTCACAATACTTTCGATTGCTTTAAGCTATCACTGTATTCAAATGAAGTAGTCCCTCCTTGTTTGTGCTCACGCAGCACAGATTTGTTCGGGTGATGAACTGAACTAGATGAGGGAGCTGATCTGTATTGAAAAACAAATGCTTGTAACCTGTATCAGTTTTCCAGTCTCGTTTGCTGTGTGCAAAGGGAGGGGATGGTGCTGGCCTGGAAAAAGCTTTTAGAGTTGAGCAGGGGTATTTTCTCCTGTTGGCAGTATCAGTCCAACCTGACTTAAATGATTATCTTTCTTTCACTCTGCCTACCTGAGAAAATGAATTTAGGGCTTAGCCTTAGGAGAACAAAATCCAGATTGCCTAATCAGTTATTCTTGATCAGTAACATAAGGATGGAGGCTGGGTGATCAGCCTTGCCCTTCAGTACCATTTCTTTTCTCCTGTGGAACAGTGGTGGTGTAATACAAATACAATGACACAGCCATTTTTTTCTTTTAATTTCAAGGCTATACTCTAATGGCTGAAAGTCAAAAGCTAAGACCTGGGCATTCAGCAGGCTTAACAACTTTACACCAATTGCCATCATCTGGGTATCAGAATATCTTTGAAGACAGAGCTTATGCTCCAATTGTTTCTCCACATACACAAGACAGTGATTTTTTACAAAAGTTAAACAACAAAGAATGCACCTCATCTTTGAAGAACAGTCTTTCAGGAGTGTCTGCCTGTGAGAAACAAGGTCTGGGTGTGCCTCTGAAAACGCAGAATTGTTTGAAAAATGAGGAAGACAAATGTATTGCTGGTTAGTCATTTATAGAAAGATAACTTGGTGTGTGGTGGGGGTTTTTTCCCTTTGTAGTTATTGAACGTAATTTTTCTACTACTTATTGTGAAGATTTTATACAAATGTTGGTTTATGTGATTTGTTGGTTGGTTTACTGACAGCTTACAGACCTCAGAGAGTTCCTGTTGATGTCCATGTGAGTTTTGTTAAAAGCAGCATGAGGAAAAAATCAAGTTCTTCTATCTGGATGAAATGCTTGTCTCTTAGGAAAAAAATATAATCTTTACTGCTAAAGCTTATATATGATAAAGACTGGGAAAATAGCAAATAATGACAGCTGAATTGTTTAAATAATGATAGCTGATTTGTTTGGGCTGAACTGTACCCACATTTTCATGTGGCAAATGGAAAATAACAATCTATCCAGGGATACAGAATGTCTTCAGACCAGCTCTATTGTGAGGATTAGTAACTGATCTGGAATTAGGAGTCAAGATGGGTTGACAAAGAGATCCCATCATATAACTAAAAATTATTTGTACATCAGAAGGAATGCACTGGAGTTCGTTATCCTTCCTCCTCTTCTCATTTTTACCGTTGGCACTAGCATGACTACTGCACTGCTATGACTGGAATAGTGGTTTTGGTTTTAATCTAGCAACTAAAGGTTGCTGAAAACCTGTAGAGGTTTTGGGGAAAAGGTATGAGATTGCATTTCATCATACTTCATATCAGCTTTAAAGCTTTTAATCAGAGGGCTTGGTCTAAGAGGATGTGAAAGGATAAATTGATCTTAATTTATACATATATACATGGGAAACAGAATCTTGGTAAGAGAGCTCTTCAGTAAAGCAGAAATCTAAATTTGTTCAGTTATTTTTAAGCTATAAATTAACAATAGCAAAGAAGATGAACAATCAGAATGGGTTATTTAAGGTCTGTGGAAAATTTTTAATACATAGTTGGATGTTCCTTTAAAAAAAAGCTCAAATTCAAATAATAATCAACTTGGGGAAATCTTGGGACTATTTTATGTAGGAATTCAGGCTACGTTACTGTGAAGCTCCCTTCTGGTTTTAATCTGACCTGAATGCTGCTTAAAGTATGAACTGAAAACTGATTTGTTGTTGGGGAGGAAAAAAAAAAAGTCTATTCATTTCATAGGAAAAAACATGTGGTGTCCAGAACAAAAGATGGAAGTATTAACGGAGAGTGAAGATCATCACATTGATCCTTTATGTGTGGAAAGCTCAGATCTCTCTGAAAATTCCAGTGGAGGAAAACATTTGTGGACTAATACAGAGGAAAGGTAATTCAGACCATTATTAGGCAGTTTTTATCAAATAGACAACATAGAATCATAGAATAGTTTGGGTTGGAAGGGACCTCTAAAGGTCATCTAGTCCAACCCCCCTGCAATGAGCAGGGACATCTTCAACTAGAGCAGGTTGCTCAGAGCCCCGTCCAACCTGACCTTGAATGTTTCCAGGGACGGGGCATCTACCACCTCTCTGGGCAACCTGTTCCAGTGTTTCACCACCCTCAGCGTAAAAAATTTCTTCCTTATATCTAGTCTAAATCTACCCCCCTGTAGTTTAAAGCCATTCCCCCTTGTCCTGTCACAACAGGCCCTGCTAAAAAGTTTGCCACCATCTTTTTTATAAGCCCCCTTTAAGTACTGAGAGGCTGCAAGAAGGTCTCCCCGAAGCCTTCTCTTCTCTAGGCTGAACAACCCCAACTCTCTCAGCCTTTCTTCATAGCAGAGGTCTTCCATTCCCCTGATCATTTTCATGGCCCTCTTCTGAACCCGCTCCAACAGGTCTGTGTCTTTCTTATGCTGAGGGCTCCAGAGCTGGACACAGTACTCCAGGTGGGGTCTCACCAGAGCAGAGGAGAGGGGCAGAATCCCCTCCCTCGACCTGCTGGCCATGCTTCTTTGGATGCAGCCCATGATATGACTGGCCTTCTGGGCTGCGAGCGCACATTGCTGGCTCATGTGCAGTTTTTCATCCACCAGTACCCCCAAGTCCTTCTCGGCAGGGCTGCTCTCCATCCCTTCATCCCCCAGCCTGTATTGATACTGGGGGTTGCCCCGACCCAGGTGCAGGACCTTGCCCTTGGCCTTGTTAAACCTCATGAGGTTCACACGGGCCCACTTCTCCAGCTTGTCCAGGTCCTTCTGGATGGCATCCCATCCCTCTGGCATGTCGACCACACCACTCAGCTTGGTGTCATCTGCAAACTTGCTGAGGGTGCACTCGATCCCATTGTCAGATCCCACATGAGTTTGGTTGAATTCTGAGTCCTGATTGAAAGAGTCTGATATTCTCAATTTGTATAGCTTTCTCAACGAAGGTTTCCATTTTGCTAGGTACTCTGGAGACCTGTAGTAAGAGAGGCTCTGGCTTTAAATTGTTTATGCTGTGAAAGATGTGATGATGTTTATTGGCTGAAGAGGTGTGTGCAGCCTGGGGTAATGATAGTTTAGAAGTACATTTTAGTATAGGCTTAGTCTATAAGCAGTTATAATTACTGTTCTCAGTTTGATTTATTACAACCTCCTATCCACCATTATGTGGTGAAAGTCGTAATGTGAAGGAGGAGTGTAAGTGTGTGACTTTTTAGTTTATTACCAGGAGTTATGTCTGTTTAAACATCTGTATATGGCTAAGCAGTAATAACAGTGCTTGTGGCAGAAGCCTTCTCATGTATGGTAAAAGCTTTGTTTATGGAGTTGATAGAATAAAAGTAGTGGTTGGCATTGTTATAAAGCTCTGCCCTGTCTGCCGAGTCATCACAAAGACAAGAAATACTTGTTCCAGGCTGTGGTGTGTTGAGCCAGCCAGCGACTAAGCACCCACCCAGTCGTTTGCTCACTCTGTCCCCCAGAGCAGAATGGGAGAGGGTATCAGAGGAGAAAACTCGAGAAAACTTATGGGTTGAGATAAAAGCAGTTTAATAAGTAAAGGAAAGAGGGGGGGGAAAAAAACCCAAGTGATGCAAAGGCTGTCACTCTCCACCTCCCACAAGCAGACTGATGCCTACTTGGTCTTTGAGCAACAGCTACTTTTGGAAGACCAAGCCCCCAGTTTTTACTGCTGAACATGATGTTATACGGCATGGAATATCCCTTTGGTCAGTTCGGGTCAGCTGTACTGGCTGTGTCCCCTCTCAGCCTCTTGCCCACCCCAGCCCACTTGCTGGGGCTGGGGGAACAGCATGAAAAACCAAAGAAAGCTTTGATGCTGTGCAGGCACTGTTCAGTAATAGCTAAAACATTGGTGTGTTATCAACACTGTTGTGGTCGCAAATCCAAAACACAGCACCATACGGACTGTGATGAAGAAAGCTCACCCCATCCTCTTGCCCACCAGCCCACTTGCTGGGGCTGGGGGAACAGCATGAAAAACCAAAGAAAGCTTTGATGCTGTGCAGGCACTGTTCAGTAATAGCTGAAACATTGGTGTGTTATCAACACTGTTGTGGTCGCAAATCCAAAACACAGCACCATACGGACTGTGATGAAGAAAGCTCACCCCATCCCAGCCAGACCCAGTACAGGGCTGTGAAGGAGGAGGAGTATCAAAGGGGGAGATAAGGAACACAATCTCAGCAGCATTACTGGGTGGGAAGGTGATGCTGTAGAAATTGGCAGTATGACTAAAATACGAATGAAAGTTTGGTAGTCTGGGCAGAAGAAAGGGTCATTGAGAAAAGCAATGAAAGAAGAAACAGCAAAACCTGCATATAGTATCTTTTAGATATGTGTATTAACTATAGCAGGGATTTGATAAACCATTTCTCAAAAGATAAACAGCTAGTGTTATAACGTATTTCTCAGATTAACTTTTACATTTAATGACCAAAGTACCTCATAATTTGTCATCTTTTATGTAATTACACCTTAGGTCTTTGAATAGCAGTGATCTTAAACATAGTTATAGGAATGTAAGACTTGATTTTTTTTTTTTTTTTTTTAAATTACACTAGACCTATTAAAGCTGCGATTCAGGAAAAGAAACAGACATTTGAACAATTCCTGGAAGAACAGATACAACTAGAAGAGCAGCGTCTGGAGCAAAACCAGAAGTTACAGGTTATTTACTTTTTTAAACTTTATTGTTCTTTATATATAGTGCCAAGATGCAATAGGTGCTTTAAAAACGTACAAGGGAGATTCTAGAAGCAAAAGATAACACTGAATGCAATATTCATGTTTTTAAAAATAAAACAATAAGCCCCAAATATTTCACTTGTTTAAGATGTCTTTAGAAATCCAGTAGAAATGTACTGTATAAATTCCTACTCATATGTGGGGTTCATTTGAAGAAATCTTCAAATGGTATAAGGGGCTTTTTAACATTGTGTGTTTGTGTTTTTGTTTGCCCCTTTTCAGGAGACAAATGGACCAGCCATTCAAAAACCAGTGATCAAACGACCCTTCCTGAAAAGAGGAGAAGGCTTAACAAGATTTAGTAGTGCCAAATCTAAAATTACAAAACTTGGAGAAAACACCCCAAAACTTCAACAAAGGGCTTCAGATGACAGAAATGTTATTAAAGTGGACAGATCACAAATACAAAAGAAAACTATGCCTCCTGGCAAAGAACGGGTTTCTGAGAACCCTTTTGCACCATGTAAAAAATATAACCACCCTGATAAAGCAAAACATTGCCCTGTTCAGAAGAACCTGGTACTCAGGAATCACAATGGAAAAAATACCTCGCTATTAGAAACAAGAATGCAACCAGGAAAAAATCATGAAGGACAGATGAGAGATTCTTTCCCATCAGAAACTAACAACAAAATAGAAAATAAAGAGAACGTAGTAGAATTTGCTAAGTCTAACACTGGCAAAATTGGAAACAAATTACCTGGCACAGAAAAGCCTCGGTTGTCTCATGAGCTGGCCAGTGCCTTTCCTAATTCTAAATGTCCTATAGGTCACCCTGTAAAAGATCCAGAACTGTCTTTTGAAGTTTCATTTCAGAATAAGCTGGAAAACTGGGAAAAAGAAAAAGAAAAAGAGAATCTAGAATTAGATGAATTTTTGTTTCTAGAACAAGCTGCAGATGAAATATCTTTCTCAAGTAATTCCTCATTTGTGCAAAGGATCTTAGATCAAGATCAGCAAACTTTAAAAGGCCGTAGAATGTCTTCTACCCCTATCAAGGCAAAACAGCAGCAAGTAGAGGCGCTGGCTGTTGAACTTATAAATAAGAAAAATAAAAAGGCAGACTGTATGACACAGGGAAATATAAATGATAGAGCAGTTATGCATACAGTCTCAAATTCAGGAGCAGCTTTTATAATGAAGGGTCCACTGAATAAAACGGACAGTGTAATATTTTCAGCTTCTTCAATGACAGCAGCTCCTGCTTTAAAAAGTAACCAATGGATTATAAATGAAGATGAGAGTGAGGGCAATGGTTATACTACTACAGATTCTGAGAGTGAATTTGAGACCACATTAAAGCATGAAAATGAAGATGCTAAGACATCCTTTATGAGCCATAGAGAAAATGATCCAGAATTTTTTGATTATAGAGGTTCTGTTACAGACACCAGCAAAGAAAGCAAAAATGGAGATGCTGACCTTGGCTCATCAGACAAAGATGGCAGCGCACTGTCAAAGCAAAAGATTAGAAAAGCTTCAGACCGTCAGAGAAGCATGTCTTGTATAAGTAGGAGTAAGTTTGAGTTTGATGATGAAAGAACATGGAGTGATCTTGATGAAAATCATGTTAACAGTGATTTACCTGAAAAATATACTAAAATACCTTTACAGATGGACTTTTCCAATAAGAATGATACAACTGTCCCAGATAAAGCAATAAAGAGAAAAGTTGCCTCAAAGAGGGGAGATGGAATGTCCAAAGAGTCTGCAGTGGACAGTGATTCAAATGGACCTCCTGTATCAAACCTGATGATGAAACTATTTCCTTCACTGAAACCGAAACAGAAGGCGGGCTGTCATTCAGAGCGTGAAATCAAATCAAATGTGGAACAGGAGCCAGGAGGTGAGAGAACAGCAACTGGTAGGAAATGTTGAAGAAGACATATATTACAAGTCTTTCCTCCTAACACTTAAGCCGCAACCTGACATTACACCAAAGGGTGTAAGTACAGACTTCTGCTGCAGGGAATGGCCCTATTCTCACCTTTCATCTCCTCTCCTGGTTGCATGTCTGATGTCAGATCTAACAGCTATGCAGCTTGCAGTATGAGTATGATCAGTGAAAACATTTATTTTTTTTTAATTTTTTTTTTTTCCTGGAGGCTAGTTTTCTGTCAGACCAGTTCATTGAACTAAACATGATCTGGAGCTGCCTGATCACTGTTTCCAAATCAAGGAGAGTGTCAAAGGCATGCCAAAAATGAAGTGGTACCTCCCTTCCCAGTGACAGTGTGCATTTACACCACGGTAGGGTAATGCTATGCACTGTTAGGTTAGCTTGTTCCTCTTATAAGGAGGCAGCAGCCCTGCCTGTATTTTCTGACAGTAGTATAGTATCTAGAGAATTCACGTGGAATATGGGAAACATGGATTCATTTTTCTGCTTTGCCCAAGTTGATTTTGACCATATGGTTATAGTCTGGGGAAGGACTGCCCCTAAAAGCTCCTGTTGAAGCTGTTGCATTTATGTGAGATCATTAAAAATGCACTTGTTCAGTGAAAGCATGATGGCATAGCCTGGCATTTAAATCTCTTCTCTGTAAGGCAGTGAGATCTTGATTTCAAACTCTGCTCCAGTGAGTGTTTAGGATTTTGTTCAGGTTTTTATGAGAAGTTCATGTGAAAGCTGCTACTTCTGCTTACTGTTTTGTGGAGAATTGATTTTGTAGGGTTGTCTAAAGATGCCTGCTAGATGTTGTTATCAGGAAGAGGGGTAGGGTTTTTTACTGAATCTCAGAGCATTTAAGGGTGAATGAGGCAACTACCTACACTGCAACATCAGTATTTAGGCTCTTCTCTTGCATACTCAGAAGTGGACTATTAAAACCCTGGGAGTGTTAAGTAGTGACTGAACAGGCAACTGGGACGGCAAAAAAGCCCACAAATCCTGTTATTGGCCTCTGCAATAGATTTCACATCAGTGATGGGTGTGAGCAGACTTTGTTGTGAATGAAACTTGGAAAAACTTACAACTATAAACTTTCCTGTTTGATGCTTGGCCCTTATACCTTCATTTAATTTCTCTAGCTTGATGTGAAGTCCTTCACATTCCAATTCCTAATATATATTTAGTTCTACAAAGATGATAGATGTATACCTCAATATTTGCGGTACTTGAGTAAATAGTGCAGAGTGCTTTAAAATGTCACTTCTGTGTTATTTGAATAGTAGACATTTTTTGCGATACTACTACTATCTCTCAAATAGTATCACTTGATATTTTTTAATTTTTTTTTTTTTAACTGGTGTGTGATAATTGTTTACTTCAGTCTTATGGATGCTGCTCAGATAACTTGCATCTGGTTGTTCTTTGACAGGAAACACTGTTCCTTCCCAGGTACTGAGAGAGAGACTCACTGAATTGGAAACTGAAATAGAGAGATTCAGAGCTGAAAACACAACTCTAACTAAACTCCGGGAAGAAAGAGAGCATGCCTTGGCAAATATCAGGTAATTTTTAATTGAAACATTTTGGTGCATTCACTTACATAGTATGTTCCAGGCGATCATAATGTCCAGTTACCAACAGCACAGATAAGTAATTGGTGTGTTTCAGCTACGGTGGAGACATAGGTCAAGAAACTGGTTGTTGCTCTATGTATATAGTAAACTGTAATTATTACTCACACACAAATTACAACATTAAGAACCCCTGCTAGTTTAATATGATATCCTTAAAGGCTATACTTGGGAGAATTTGTATACTTTTGTTCTGAGTGATAACACAGTCCTTAAATTGGTCTTGCAAAATTGATCTTCATGCTAAGATGATTGATGCTCTTCCTTTGGATTGAATGTTTGTGAGTACAAGCTGAGAATATTTTCATTTGAACTGGGGGACTTATAAGCAACATATAGAGCAGAATAATTATCTCTGGTGACTTAAATGTGGCACACCTATTCCTACCAAAGTCACTTTTGTTTTGTTTGGAAACAGCGTCATGTTGTTGGCTTATGTTTGATTTGTGACCTCCTGCTGTTAGCAGATTCTTTTTCCCTGTGCTTTTGGGGGAATGGTGTTCTACTGCTTTGAAGAATGTTGGAAGATTTTAGCCAGAGCTTTGTTAAATTCAGGATAACTTCCGTGACTGGAAGATATAAAAATAGAAATTGTTGGACTTCAGACACTAGCTGTGTGACAATTCTTACTCCTTAAATAAGTAATACCATTTATAGGTAAGTCTTCCTGGGGGTAACAGATGCTGGATTGGAATCAATGACCACAAAATTCAGTGTCTTCATTTTCTTCCTTAAAATCCAGATTTGAAGTAGTTTTGGGTTAAAACAACAACTTTGTTTCATAATTATAGGAAAGAAATTGCAGACTTTCAACAGCAGAAAGCCCAAGAACTGGCTGAAATAGAAGAATATAAAAAAAAGGAAATGAAAAAACTGCAAAAGGAGCGTAAAGTTTTTGAAAAATATACTACAGAAGCTAGAGCAATTCCAGATAAAAAAGAACGTGATGAAATTCAGGTATAAAAATATATTATTCTTCTGGTCCACACAGGAAGCTTAAATTAATTTAAAGGCAGTCGAGAACTAAATTCTAACTTAGTTGAAAGGTTGCAAGTGATTTCAAGATGGGAACTTTTAGTAGACATGGCCTAATTGAGGAAGGAACTACAGTCTTCACAATGTTGTTTGATGGTTTTAAGGCAAAAACCCTTGATGAGCAAATCTTTTTGTCACGTTTCCGTACTAAACTGCTCATAACTATGGTAGAATGATCTTCAACTTTGATACAAAATTACTGTAGTTAATATTAAGTTGTAAGTTTTTATTCATGGCGGTAGATCAAAATGCAAACTAGAACTGTACTTGAGTTTTATTCTATAACTGTTGTACAGTAAACATAGTAGTCTTTTACAGTTTTCAAAGTTACCTAAAGACCTACAAGTAAGTAAGAACAAAATGTATCAGAGATGTAAGAAACAAGATCTGTTTGTTCCTTCATTGTCAGGATGTACGGTACATGAGATGTACAGACAAGTTGTATTAAACATCACACATGGATTTCCCTCCTCCTTCCCTACTAATTTTCCTTACATAACTTCAACAGATTGAAGTAACACTTGCTAAACTGGCTAGGCAGACTCACATGTGTGTTATGTGATTGTGTCCTCCCTGTTTTCCTGTGCAAGATTTTTGAAGGGCCCTCTCAAGGGCAGCCTTAAAGATTTCATGTTTCTGTCTCAAGTGTATTTGTACTGGCCAATCTATGAACTGTAAAGGATGCCAAGAGGGCAATAAAGACACTTCCTGTGATTGAAGTTGAGCTTTAAGTTGGTAGTCTAAAGTAAATAGTATCTCTTTCAGGAAGAAAACTTCTACTTTTCACCCTCTGCCCCATTAAGCTAATCTTGGTTTTTTTGCTGCTCTTGTGCTTTTTTGTGTGTTTGTATTTCTATTAGAACATTAAAATCTTTTAATATATTAAAAAATGAAAGTGCTTCAATTTATAAACATGCATTTTTCTAAGGCTTTAAAACAGCAGATCGCAGAGTTACAGGAAGATTTAAAACGAAAAGAGGCAAAATGGTCAACCACCCATCGACGCCTGAAAGATCAAATAGAAGCTTTAGTAAATGAGAATATGGAGCTAAAAGAGGAAGTCAAAATTATGGAGAGGTTTCGTCTGGAAGCCTGGAAGAAAGTAGAAGCTGCTGGAAGCAAGAGGAAAATAGAAAATTCTGGGATGACTCTGAAAAGAGCAGAATCTGTAAGTTCTTAATCTTGGTGTTTTAAATTAATCTGTGTGAATACTCTTGCATTTTGGATCATAAACTTGGAATCCAATAGCTACAACTTAGATGTTTACTTTTAATTTACTAATCTTGGGACTCCACTAGTGGTGACAGACACAGAATTTTGTTAATGTCACATTCTCTACAAATGTGAATGTTTGCAACGTGCAGCATCCATCCTGTTGAGGAACTCACCTTAGAAATTCAAAATGAAACAATTATAAGAGAAAAATCATAGATGGGATCTAACCTGGGAATCTCTGCACCTTAAGGATCAGCCAGGCATACCAGGCAGTTCACCATTGTCTAGTTATATTTAGTTTTGAAACTGTAACTATTTTTCTAGATTGCTTGCACCACATTAACGTTCTGTAGTTGTTGGTAGTGAGGCAGCAGACAGAGGAAGAGTTCCAAAGTATAGCTTGGGCTACATCACACAAGCCCGTCACTGACTAAATCTCAAAAATGTAGTTTGGTGCAGAAAGCTTCCATTAAATTTCATGTCACGTGGTGTGTAAATTTTGTTGCTGCTCTATGAACAATTGTGAATAAATGTCACGTAAACCACAAATAACTTTTCTGTCTGTCTGTCTGTCTGTCTGTCTTTCTGTCTGTCTTTGTTTTTTTCTGTCTGTCTGTCTGTCTGTCTGTCTGTCTGTCTGTCTGTCTGTCTGTCTGTCTGTCTGTCTGTCTGTCTGTCTGTCTGTCTGTCTGTCTGTCTGTCTGTCTGTCTGTCTGTCTGTCTGTCTGTCTGTCTGTCTGTCTGTCTGTCTGTCTGTCTTTGTTTTTTTCAGTGTCTACCAAATAGAGGCCCAGAAAGTCAAACCGCATCTCTGCTTCTTCCAGTACAGAAGTGCAGCAAGATAAATGGCAAAAGTTATTCACAGGCAAAAGGTATAAATGTTGGTCTAATCAGAGAATTCTGTTAACTCTTTAAAAGAAAATTGACATGGATTTTTGCTTTTATTGAAAAGAGTGCATCAGCACCTAAAAAGTAGATAGAGAATAGTTGTAATGGACTTGAGCGTATGGAAAAATACCTCTCAGGGTAAGATTCTGGAGAAAGCTGCGATGAGACCGTTCTCAGAGCGAAGATGCTTCTGGTCATGTTTGGTGATCTGGAGCATACCAGAAGCTGCGTTCTGTAATCCAAAATGGCATTCATCACTGATGTTCTCCAAGCTGCAGATGTTGATTAGATGACTATGTTGATAGCATCAGAACTGCTGTGTCTCTTCAGAACCTTCTGTTACCAGGAGCTGTAACCGTATGGGCAATGCCATACCAGGTGTTCCTTGTTCACAGTTATGAGCAAATGCTGTTGGCAGCTATACCCCTTCCTAATAATCATCACAGATGGAAAGTAACTGGAGGGTACTTTTTTGACACCTCTGACAGCTCAAGCAACCATCATGTTACCTGTTAGGGGAGTGCGTTCCAGAATTGAAGCCCTTGCCAGTTTTATTTTGGCTGGTGTGCTAGGAGAGACATGGGCAAAGTCTGCCAATCAGGTCCTGTTAAAAGGTTACATCAGCCTTCCTTTATTCATTGTAAGGCATAACTAAAAATGTTGCCTAGATTCCTGGGGGGGGGTTGGGTGGAATCCTTTGTAAATCTACAGAAATGAAATAGGAGAGAAAGGGCAAGTATTGTGCCTGTTGCAATGATTCTTCAGTTGTAGCTTCTTGCTGACACATGAAGCAATGACATACCTGAAAGATCTGGTTTATGCTGATTCTTTTCATAAATATACTGCTTTCAGTTTCTATTGCACTTAAATGTGGGTGTCTTGTGCACCTTGACCTCATATATAATTATGATTGTAACACTTCAAATTAACTTTAAGTACAGTTTAACAGTAAAATTAATTACACGTATCTGAGTAGGAAAGCTTTCTAGAACGCCCGCATCAGCAGCTGCTAATGACAGAAGCAACTCTGAGACAATGATGGCACTGGAAGATTCTTCTAGGACTTTTATGGTAGTAAGTCCTGTATCTTGATTTGATTTTTAAGGGAGAGGAAAAAGCCTAAAATAAAACAATAGTTACTTGTACTTAAATGAGTATCTGGAGGGTGACTGGTGAAGCTGTTGACTCACCTTCTTATGTTCAACTGCAATTTTATTGTCCTATCAGAAAATGGCTATGTAGTAGTCAATGCAGGGTGTTTTACCTGTGTCTAGTAGTTGCAACATTCTTTGACTGAGGAAAGAAAATAAAATAATAATATCCCACTCCCTTGGATTTTGCAAAATGTTTTCCCTTTTGAGAGAGGGGAAAAAGATGGATGTTTATATGCTCCATGTAGGGCAACCGTGCAAGAATCTTGTAAACAGTTGAATTAATTCTTACATTAATTGCTGTAGGTAGCATTCAGGTTTTATGAAACTTCATCAGCTGTTTCATACCTTGATATGGATGACTTAAGGCAGTTGAGCACCATGCTAGAACACACCGCTGAATTCCACTCTAGTCCAGGCTACAGCGGACCACAGACAACCAATTAGTACTGAGTCTCAGTCTGTCTTACCACTTGAATTATACTAGGAGTTGCATAAAACCCAGGTTGTGTTTATGCCTTCCTATACTACTCTTCCTCCCCTGATGCTCCTTGTTTTCTAAAATACCTGTCAGCCTAGGAAAAAAACATGCATAAAGACAAAGCTTGATTTCAGTCTATGCTTAGATTATTGTTGTCACTTCAGGACAGCTCTCCTAATGAAGCTCATGTGTCACTACCATCTGGACCTGCGTATACAGACAGTGAAGAGATACAGAGAGAAACCGCTTATCCTGATGGAAAGGTAAAATGAGAGCTCGGCACTCTGAAATTCCGCAAGACAGCTGTTGTGAAAGAGGACCGAGTATGTGAGTGTGATGGCTCAATACCGACTTCTCTGTAATGTATTCATTAGGTTGAAAAGGTTTTGAAAAATGGCTGTCACCTCATATTTTTCCCCAATGGGACATGGAAAAAAGTGGGTTCTGATGGGAAGACTGTAACTATAACCTTCTTCAATGGCGATGTGAAGCAGGTTATGCCTGATCAAACAGTGGTATGTATCCTACATCTTCTGCGCTTTTCTAGAAATACTTATTTATGCGCATGTGTACACACACACACATAAAATTTCTCACTAGTTAAATCTCAACTGTTTTCTGCAGATTTATTATTATGCTGATGCTAAGACTACACATACTACATACTCTGATGGCTTAGAGGTCTTGCATTTTTCAAATGGACAAATAGGTAAAGAAATCATCCAACCCAACCAACCCTCAAAATTGCTGCCCCTATGTATACCTTATTTATGTAATAAGCATATTGCCTCAAAATACATTTCAGAGAAGCATTATCCTGATGGCAAGAAAGAAATTACTTTCCCTGATCAAACTATCAAAAATTTATTTACGGATGGGCAAGAAGAAAGTATCTTTCCAGATGGTACTATTGTTCGTATTCAGCGGTAAGCTTTACCTTTTCAGGTACCTTAGACTGTTGATGGGAAAGTAGCAGTTAGGGCTCACTGACAGAGGCAGTATAGGGTGACACATCTATTTCTAGAAGTTTACATTTGAACATACTGTACTGTCAACATATATTTACTGCTTGAAATTTTGGGTTTTTTTTCCTGTAGCTTGGAGGAGACATAAAGACTGTGTATTTTCTCATACCCTAACCTGAGAGATTTTGCAGATTTGTGCATAATTCTAGAGAACATGCAAGAACCTAGTTGGTGTGGCAAGCAGGTCTGACATCCAAACTGACAGCGCTCAAAACATTGTTTGAAACTTTTCTTGGACTGTTGCAGCAGTAGATTTAGTGCAAAGAAAGTGCGGTAGAGGCTCTCAAGTCTAAAGAAGTTATGTCAGTTTTGCAGAAACAGATTTTTTTGAGTACCAACCAGCTGGGATGATATTTAACAAAACAGGCTTTTCACAAACAGTCTTTTTTAAGTTCTTCCTTCATTTAGGCTTGCATATTTAAAGTTTGTTCTGAGATTAAGCTTAAGCCTATGTATAGTCCTTACAATGTTTTTGTTTGTTTTTTTTTTTAAACACTTATATACACTTATTTAATGCAGAGATGGAAGCAAAACTATAGAGTTTAATAATGGCCAGAGAGAACTACACACATCACAGTTCAAGAGACGGGAGTATCCAGATGGTACTGTCAAGACTGTGTACATGAATGGACAGCAGGAAACAAAGTACGTCTCTGGGAGAGTAAGAGTAAAGGACAAGGATGGTAATATTATCATGGACACCAAGTTGTAGGTAATGTCAAAACCGTTGGAAGTGTTTGTACATTACTTTTGCTGATGTGCTTTCCTGTAAACAAGAAGAGAAATCCCTTTAAGCTTGTGTATATATTGTTTATAGTTTTCCTGAAATAAATTTATTTTTCAGTGGGTGTTACTACATGAGAGCTTTTTCTAATTTTTTCCCATTTCTACTTTTAAGAAGCAGTTTATTGATTCAGTATTCTGTGATGTGTGGTTTAAAGGGTGTTTTTTAAATCAGCTGTCAGTGAAAATTCATCAAACAGCTGTAGATTACCTTATTTTAGACATCTAAGAGAAGATTCCTCAATCCAAGGTAAAAGGTTGTGCTGTTAGAACCCCTGCTGTGGTGAAATACAGCAGGCGGCCAGATTTAAGAGTCTGGGTATCAGTTTACTTATTGCTTGACTTCAAAGAGTAAATGAATGGCAGCATTCCTTTTTGGTTAGCCTTAGGCTATTCTTTTTCCTTCATAATCTTATTTTTTTTTTCTTAATCTCACAGCTAGGAGGCAATACCATTAGCAGACCCCAAACTCTGTTCTGTAAACTGCTCTTCTATATTTGTAAGACTAGGACAGATGAGACTGTGGGACAGGTTAATTATCCAGTCTACTCAGGAATGTGGGAGGAAACACCAGTAATCAACAAAGGTTCTTCCACCTAACAGGCATTTTTAAGCAGACTTGTCTTTTAAAATTCTGCAGTATCTACAAGCAAAGTGGTACTGCTGGCGTGTCTGCTCTAACTCTCCATTGTGGTGGATGCTGAAAAATTTGTTTCATTCTCTTGCACAGCAGAAGATACTCATTTTACTCACTTTCTTCCCCTTGTCCCCCCTGCCCCCCTTTCTCTTCAGTGAAAGCAAGCTCTGTAGTTACTATGCCTGTGCCCTTTTTTACTCAAGGGGTAAATCAACTTGCAGTAGTGGGAACTGTGTTCACTCACAACTAAGTTGCTTGGGTGGGTGCATAGGCACATCCTGGCCTTTCTGGCAATCTTAAACAGCAGCTCTTACGTAATTCAGAGCTAGTCCCTTTCAAGATGGTTGATAAACAACTTTCCTTATTTTCATAAAAAAAAAAAAAACAGGAACACATTTTGAAGATGAGCACACGACAGCTCTATAGGGTATTTGCAACAGCATATAGTACGTCTGCTTAATACCAGAATATGTACTAAAACTGTGAAAGAATCCTTCCACTGCTAGTATAAATGGGCAAGCTACCCTTGTAGCATGCCTGAGCAACACTACTGACAGCAGTTTGTACACTTGCTTTCCTGTCATCTTGAGGGAAGAGACATGCAGAAGGTTATGTGTGTATGTGCACAAACATGGGAACAAACAGAACCACAGGAGGTTCCCTCTGAACATTAAGAAACACTTTTTTACTGTGAGGGTGACTAGGCACTGGCACAGGTAGCCTAGAGAGGCTGTGGAGTCTTAATCGTGTATGTCTTTTCCTTGATAATCTAGACAAAATTCTCCATGGGGAGACTGAAAGGGGTTGAACTTTAAATGTAAAGAATATACTACACTAGTACAATGAAGAGACATCCAAAGAAACCTTACATACTATAGCAGTAAAGGAAAACAAGCTTTTCGATGCATGCTGAGCAAGCTCCTATTTATTCCAATGCTTTCAAATGAACACTGCAGCTCCAGGAGTAGGAAGGAGGTGCAAGGACACCCAAAACACATCCATCTCATCATGACTGAAAACAGAAAACACGGCAGCAATACAAACATGTTCCAGAACAAAGACAGTAACACTCCCCCACCCCCAACTGTTCATTCCTGATCCCAGACTCTGGTACTGGAGAAGTCTGTCACCAAATATGCCTGAAACATAAACAAGAGTTACATAACAGTAATAAAACTATCATCTTCCCTCCAAGTATTCTAACAAGATACTAGAACAAGTGTGCCCAGCATCAGCTTTTTATCTATTTCTTTACTACTATACATTAATTCCATCTACTCTTATGAAAAGGATTATCACAGAATAATACTTAAGGTCCTAAGGTCAAGAGATTGAGGTGTGAATATACAGTTTCACTAGTTCAAGATCCAAAAGTGTTGGGAACATTATCTATAAACATAGATTAGAAGAGTGCTTATTAAATGGGAGGGAAAAGGACTACTTAACACAGTTGGCCAAGAAATTTGAAAATCCAAGTCTCCAATATTCTCTGTAGACAACACATACTATAAAGCTTTTCATTTAAAATATTCCATGTTTGACTAGATGTATGGACATCCACATGTTATCATGGATCTGTCTGAGAACCTCCGGCACAGGACATTGAGATCAAATGCTGAAAATTAAGAAAAACAATTAATTTTGATTGTTTAGGCAGAGTATACTGCCACACATCTACAAGTTATCTTCTTCAGTTACAAGCAGCAAAAGCTCTTTCTGTTACATCGCCTTAGGGCTCTTTGTTTCAGTACCTGTTTGTTCTTAAAGCTATACTGTGGGCTTCAGTAATGTGTATGTAAAGAAATTCATTTTTTTTAACAGCATTTTATTTTATTAAAAGAGTGGAGAGAAGGGATTTTTTTTTTTTAAATAAACTCTAGTTGTCAACATTACTGACAGTTAAGACTGCTTAAAACTTCTGAAGTCATACCTTTGTAATGGTATGATTTTGTATTTCATATTCACTGTACTTACACGTCACTCATCCAACTCTGCAAGTCCCATTTCTATCAGTTTCATATGAACTAGGTTTTGGTCATCTTCATACAAAGAAATGGTGACCTCTGGTGAAAGAGCCTGAAAACCAGAAGTTGACAGAGTTCTGACAATAACAGATTTAAATCTCAAGCTGACCCATAGTAAAAGTTATTTTACTGGCTATACTCACTGCCTAAATGGAACTGTGAGTATACAAAGACTATTTCTGTTTTTAAGTAAAGGAAACTTGTTTTAAAATGACAGGAATGCTCAGAAACCTTTTGTTTGCAGGATTAGTAAGAGCGCCACATGATTTTCTCTCTTCATCAGCATTCCTTCATGGTAAATGGTTCACAATTTTAAATTATGAGGATTCACAGTAAAACAAATACTCAGAAATTATACTCAGAGTGCTAATAAGCATTTTAGGCTGAGCAAGAACTAGGAGGGGGAAAAAAAAAAGTGTTTCTCACAAGTATGGAAGCAGAGAGCTGTTTTCCTTCAACGCACTCCATCATAGCCCACAACGCTTCCACACTCCATTCTGGGCAATACGGAATTCTTTTCACGTTTTTGTCGTATAAAGCAGGTTTAAATCCAGCCAACAGAGCTCGTACTGCCTGAACAGGGTACTTCAGCAGATGATAAGGTATGTGACGCAATCTAAAACAAAAATGAAAAATGTTTGCCTGCAACAATCCACCTGTCAAGCTAAACTGTCAGTATGGACATAAGGATAGCTTAAAGGTTCATGCAGTAGATGTACAGTGTGGAAACTGGGATCAGAGTCCCTGCTCTACAGTAACATGCCGGTGTCACACCGAACAATTCATCGGGTAGGGCGAGGCCCTCTAAGGTACTTCAGCACAGTAACTATCAAAAAGCAGGCCAGTATCGTACAGACCCCTCAGCCCGCCAGGCACACTGGCTCCCCATTACACTGCTTGGGGAGGAGTCTCAAGTGCCTAATACAGATTTGAGCACAGGAATGCAAGCGTAAGGTCATCACAATGCAGGGTCCAAATCTGGTGTGCCTGGAGAATGACACAGACCTTTGTGGTCCAAGTGCTTCACACCTGGATGTGATCTAGACACACTACTGGAAATAGGTACCTTAGTTTTATATTATCATCTCCCCATTCTTCTATCTTTCTATCCCAGAAGCAAGGGAATGGGGAAGCAGAGCAAGAAGTGCAACCCTGAAATAAAACACGCAATCTCTCCCTAACAGTCCGTGAAGCAGGAAATCTCTTCAAATCCCCATTTTGCCCCATCTTCAGCAAGGACCTGTAGATCCCCCAATGAGCTCAAGAGCAAGTCAATGTGATTAAGCAGTATATATATAAAATGAAAGTGCTCCAAGAGAGAAAATTCAGGCAAGCTTAGGGGACCCTAAAAGCCTGGGGTGTTTGAGACACTTAGCTGACATCTGTTTGTCAGCACAGGAGCAGTTCCTAGAGCAGCTCAGCACCAGGCAGAACAGGGATTTGAACTTCCAATTTGCACACAAGCAGTGTAAAAACCACTCAGATACTCCCTTATCTTACTCCCCAGCTGTCTTCTATGCAGATTGCAGTAGAACAGGATCAGAGGGTTTGTTTGTACACCTGGAGGGCTCAGTCCTTATTTTGTGTAAGCTTCTTGGGTGCAAAAGCAGATTATAAGCCTGAGCCTACTTCACAGGTTGAGCAACCTGAAGATGATGGAGAAATCTGATATTATAATAATGGGCTTCTCAGAACAACCCGAGAAAGAGAAGCAGGTGCACAACGCCATACCCTGCAGACAGAAATTATTTAACCAGCCAACCAACTTTCTCTCCAACTGAAATCTAATGCTAAAATATTATAAATAATGTATCTGTAGTTATATAAAAATAAATAATAATAAATGTAAAAATACATACACTTATTTGTAAGTATATGTTTTATAATGTAAGTGTATACATAGATAGTCATTTTACACGCATTTTTTTCTTATGTGTTTACCTGCTTGTTGGGACAACTGAAAAACTACCATAGTCAACAAACTGAACCAGGATCTTAACAGGGTCAAATTCTTCAACGGAGAGGAGCTTTGCTCTATACCATAAACCATCCTGGTATTCTACAAGGCAAGGCATTTCTGTGAAAAGAAAAACAAACATCACAAAACACCCCAAAATATACTCACAGTGCAGTAAAAACTAACTGAACTTGAAAATCCGTTTTACTTTGTGACCGAGATTAAGATTTTTTTCTTCCTTCTCTAATTCATGCTCCTATTTTGTTCTATGTATCCTCCAGTTCTCTCTGAACTCCAGTTCACAATCGTCAGTATGCAATTAAAGTCAAGTTTCTCTACCTCACATGCTAATCATGAGAATTAACAGAAAATTGCTTGGTAAAGATAGTGATTAAACTTTTCAACTTTGACTCATTTGC